GTCGGATCAGCGCAGGTAGCTCAGCGACCGACTAAATCTCGCCACGGATACAAAAGGTCCGATTGACTACTTTCCTTAACCTACACCACCTAGGATGCCACCGTGATATCTCATTGCCTATTAAGGGTCGACTGTACTGCCCCACAGTTCGCTTTATTCTACTATATGGTTGTAAAACACGGCCACTAAAGGTAGAAGACATGAAGAGGCTTTAGGTCTTCGACCACTGTGTCCATTGTAGCGTAAGACATGTATTGCAGTGTCACAAGGTCAGTAACGTATAAGTCAGGCGTCAAATTTCGCGCAGAAGAAGGAAGTTAATCATCGAAATAGTCAACCGGGACCGCTGAATGACATCACATGACTAAGTGATGATGAGTGAACTAAGTAGATAGATGGAAATTGATGAATACGGTAATTATCTAGGATTGAAAGAAGTAAAAAATAAACAGGCAGTTATTTCGCTGATTGCAAAACAATTAATATGAAAAGTGAAGAAACTGGGCCAAGTAATTTTAAGTTAACAGTGAAGAATTACATAAGAATAGGGTGATGGGAAAATAAGGAAACAGATAGTATAGGCTGAACTGAGGGGACGTTCGTTTGAAAAATAATTCAACCTAGAGGCAAAGGTATTGACAAAGGTTCCGCAATTTCCCCAATGAATATAGATGTTCGGTTTGTGAAGATGCACAAGAAAAGTTTCTGCCGAGTGTACTAGGCGATTACATAAACCACACAGAAGACTGGATGGCATACAGTAAATGAATGGAAAAGCATTTCTCCTCTTCCCTTTGTGACTAGCATTTACTTAGATGTACAAGCACTGAACGTTTTACTGTTTTTCGTCTATCCCTTACTTAACCACGATTGATGGTATTCAGACATTCTGTGACGGACTTGTCTAATACTCTATCTAGCTAGCTCAATAGAAGCCTTTCAGCTGATAAATGCATACATAACAGGTGGAAGATCCAGAACATCTGTCTTTACAACCAGCCTCTAGGATTGGACGACTGCAGAAGGTACAACACTTCTCAGAGATGAATGTTTTCTGAAAGGTTCTGTCATAACCTTGCTGAGATGATGTTAACTTTGAATTCACGAAAATAGGTTTACTAAAAACTTTTCTCACCCTTGGTATAGCTTTCCGCTCAGTTATGTGCTCGGTCACAAATTAGTCAGGATGTCCCATCCCTATTAACCAAGTTACGTATAATAACAAGCTCCTCTTCTACGGTGTTGATGACTTTAACATCATTCATTAAAAACTAATGGTTGATAAATATTGTCAATAGGAACCATCAAATTTTAAACTGGAATCTATTTATCGTTTACTTTGTTGATTTAGAAGGTTGAATTGACCAGTCTCTGCTGGTGTGTAGACGCTTCTGGTATGTACACCTTGATATTGTCTGTAATCACTGTCTTATAATATATTCGGTATTAGTAGCAGTCCAGTAAATCCACCAGAGGCAACGACCAAAAATGGTAATAACAAAAATGATACTCCTTGAACAAGATGCAGTTATCACAACTTGATAGTCCAATGGATAACACAATGATGTTCTAGGGGATAGGTGCTGAATCCTTATCTCAGTGAGAACACGAACTTTCACTGAGATTTGAATAGTGTAAAAACAACAATTTGACCGGAACTAACATGACACTATTTTGTCGGCTTCCCTTCAGCTGCTTACAACCTAGAAACATGGAAAGATTAGAATGGAGAATGAAATCTTGGACTATTAAATTATAAGCATTTCGACCATAGTTGTTACGAATGTCCTATAAGAAGTTGTAAGCAGATGACGAAAATCCTATGAAATAAAATGATGTTATCGTATTCTAGAAATGGTGTTTCCATTGTGTTCTTCAGTTCCATTAAGCGAAGATTAAATGCGTGACAAATGATGTAATGGAATAAGAGTGAAAATTAAAAAAAAAAACTAGAGAGATTACACCACTACTGGTCGAAATGATTTCCAACTGACTAAAGTACGTTTAAATTTCCACTGTAATATCAATAATTTCCTATTGTACTTTGTAAGCAACTGATGAGAAATCGAGGAAACAGAATGGTGCGCCATGTTATTCTGCTCAAATTGTTGTTCTTTCTGTATTCACCTTCATGAAGGGAAAAGTTTGTATGCAAATCCATTGAGTTGCAGGTAGATCCAGTTGACAAGTCTAGTACAGTACGAAATGTACATTCTCGACTCCACAGCTAGTCACTGACCTTTTTGTTGAACTTGGGACATGAGCTGTTCAATTTTCTGATTTGATTGACTTTTATATTCATGAATTTCCGATTCTTTGTTTCAAGCAACATTTTCAGTTCTTTCTCAAGGGTGATTCCTATGTAAAACAAAATAAATAAACAAACAAATGATATATTCCAAAGTTGTTTTTTGCCTTCTGATGACAATCGAACTATCTTGGATGTTTCAAGGTAAGAAAGACTTCATTAGCTCTAATTTTCAATACACCCTGTTGTATTATCAAGATGACTTTAGTAAGTAGATTAGCTTCATTTCAACAAAATTAGAATACTTGACCTAGTCGTTTCCTAGGTAAATGAAAATATTCAATACATATAGTGCATTGTTGCCGAATAAATATCGTTCACGTGGTCTAAAGACGTGAAAGGCTAGTTCTTATTGAAGTGCCTGAGAAAGAAGAGCTAGTGAGTGACCGAAGAGCCTAAGCGATATATTAGTGAGGCCGGTCACAAACGACCTGCTTAGGAGTTTGGGATTTAATTTTGTCAGTTTGGAATGAGACTGTCAACCCATATCGTCGGAATCAGTATGTTGTGGGGTAGAGAGAAATGTGCTTGTTTTAGGACCCGTCTTTTCTGACCACCCCTTTACTTAGGGAAGTAAGCTTCAGCGTGGCCCTGCTAGTCATCCGTAGGAAACATCTTACTGCTGTTACACATGCACCCACCCAGTAGTACGACTTCACCCTCTTTAGCACCATCAATACGTATTAATTTACACGATGACGGTAACTTCTATCCAACAAACCTTTTTGGTATGTTAGAACCTCAAGGAAACAAGTGTTCCACCAGCATAGCTTGTTGATTCATTGTGATTTGCAAGACCGACCACCACGTCAAAATAGCAGTTATTGATAAATTACATCTAGCTTGCATATTGTTCATACCGTGGTTGCAAAATGAGAAAAAGACACTACGAAGGTGGCTGTCTAATTTCTCCACATTTTCATCAGTTATAAAGAAAGATAGAGAACACTTCTCTTTTCATGTTCGCCACACTATTCAAAAGTGCACGAACAGCTTCGCACAAATATCATTCCAGAGGAATGTGATCTACTACACAGATTCGGCCATATAGAAGCATCTCTCAACTACATGAATATCAGCAAAGAAACTTCTTATCCTATTAATGGATCGAAGGGACTACTGACTAAAAATCTAGTAACTCATTGATGACTTGCTTCGAGATGGATTCCAGAAGATCCAATGAGAAGATGGAACCTATAAGGTCGACAAAGAAAGTTTACCGACGAAGAAACTGCAAGGTGCTCCCATTATATCGCAAACTGACTGCGTGATATGCTTGCCACGATAGTCTCATGCGGTAGTAGGTACAGACCGACTGAGGGGTTGGAAACAACGAAAAACACAACTGTTTGGTACTTCTAGGAATTCATAGGTTCTTCATCTGACATCAGTCCATGATGAAAACTACCAAGAAATAATTCACTGACTAAAAAACTCTATTATTATTATTATTATTATTATTATTATTATTATTATTATTATTATTATCATATTATTATTATTTGTCCTTTGGCTTCCTATGGAACATATGGCTTCAGTAGCACGTCACCATTTGACTCTCTTCTCTCCAGTCTTCTCAACCTGGCTCCACTACTGCCCACAAACTTTCATTTCTTCCTCACACCATCTCCTCCTCCATGTCATCCTCCACCCACCCATACGCCCAACTCATCGTTTACCATGTGCGTTCCACTCAACGATCTCACCTGACCTGGCGTGTGACATCACAAAATGCTCCTCTCACTGTATGCCTAATCCCAATCCATATCCACTCTCTACTGCACATTTGTTGAGCAATGGGTTCTTCGTTGGTGGATTGGTTCGTTGCCAGCCAGCGAGCCAACCAACCAGAGTTCCTTGTTGCTTATTCCTATTATTCTGGCCATCTGATCGCCACCTTCACTCTCGAGTGAGCGTAGACGGCAGCTGTTCATGTGTGATGTATGTGTGCAGTTTGTTGCAAATGCTTTCCGTAACGCACCACCAAGTCTCTCAACCATCACATTAAAACACTGACTGACTTGACTGAATTAGTGTTGCAAATCCGGATATTGTTCACGCTTTATGCTGAGTGCAGTGCAGTACAGTACAGTGCAGCAGATCTCCACACTGATTATTTCAGGTTAATGAAAGCCTGTCTTGCTGTCTTTCCAATCCTGCCTTTCATATCCTCATCTGTACCACCGTCGCCGCCCGTAGTTGAGACGATGCTGCCTAGGTGTGTGAAACAGACTATATCCTTTAGGTTTCTGTCGTTCATGGTGATTGCTGCTTCTTCTTCTTCTTCTTGTTGTTGCTGCTGCTGTCGGTTGGGTATCTCCATCACCTCTGTCTTCTCTACCTTCACCTGAAGGAAGTCCCGTCTTCCTCAGCTGCCTCACCCCACCCCGCCTCACCTCACCTCTTCTGCCAACTTGTTAGTTTTCACCTGTACATCTTCGAGTTTGTGAGACAACACATTAGACATAAATCATCACCGGCGAAATCCGAATCTTCTTCTGGGGTCTTTTCACAGTTGTCTGCTGCATGATCCAGTCGACCAGAATCAGGAAGATGATCGGTGATAGTAGGTGGCAAACTTGTCTTACTCCTGTCCCCTGTCTTCACTTCAAAGGCGTCACTCAGCTTCCCATTGTGAACCACTTGGCATGTAGCGCTGTTATATAGCTGTTGAATGAGGTTGATTAAAACTCTAACCAAATGATAATAGATATTCAATTAGGCATATGTTAAGTAACATCAGTGTTTTGTTCACCTTTTTATTCATTTGAATATTGAACTCCTTTTCCATTTCTTGTATTTTCATTTGTAGCTGTTTACAAGAGTCACTTTGTGAATCTCTAAAAGAGAATAACAGAAGAATAGGGTCATCAATGAAAAGTACCACATAAAATTCTTCTTCTTCGCGATTTCTAAAGTAGTTAGTTAAATCGATTACATTCTATAGGAATATTTTCCAACATATTTCAATGTTTTATAATGACGATAAGTGGATTTGTTATAAGAGACTAATTAACTTAGAGGCAAATATAGGATGGCGGTTTTAGGATGAAGAGGGAGGTGATAGGGTGTATTGTCCACTTTACTTAATTGGGAATTTACGTCTACCCGGATAAACTGATTGGCAACAAAATCTCACATCGGATACAAAAGACTCGTTTGACATTTGTCAAATACGTCAATATTGAAGTTGGTGAGGTATCTGACTAAATATCGAAGGATGAGTTTACTGGACTACAGTTTCTTCTGTCTTTGAAAGCAAATGTGAAGAGATTACAGGTATTCCAGGACAGGTGTCTTCATAGAAGTACTCTCGTACGGTGGAATCAGTATGTGAGAAATGTTGAGGTGCGGCTAAAGAAACTAAGCCGTGAAGGGAAAGCGGTCAATGAGGTTGTGAACCTTCACTGACTGAGGTGGTTTGGACATATATTTTGTATGCTAAGCTATCATCTTCCTTGATATGTAGTGTTAGCCGATTTTGGATTAGGCTGGAGGAAGTTTCAGTATGGTCAGACCAGACGTGGCACGAGTATATGAATTCTTCGACTGTTGGTCTGAGTCGTGTAAGTAAGCTTCTACTCTGTTTGGGCTTCTCGAGATGATGGAAATCAATAGCTGGCGAGTCTTGGTGATAGTGGGGTAGATGTATTCACTCTATCTCATCTTCAAATTCTTAGACATTTTACCAGCCTTCATTTGTTCATTCTGACTCGCCTCATACACTTTTGCCTACATCGATATAATTTTCTCTCTTATTCATTTACTCTTTCCGTAAAGTAGTAAAATATAGCACTTTAAACTGATGCTTTTCGTAGCGAACTTCTTCGTTGATTTGTCTGTCTGACTGTTTATCTATAGGATAAAGTAATTTCTCGAGTGTTTGACCGAAATGGTTAAAATAAATATGATAATCGTTTTTAACAAATTACTTCTGGAAAGGCAACGTACCTAATTGTTTTTAATTCAAATATTTCTTGTTTCCCTATTTCTAGTGCAGCATTCAACTGATTATTCAATTCTTAGTGATAAAAAAAACAAACAAACATAAAATATAGACAGGCTATGTCAAATGTTACAAAGTTAACTTTAAAATCAAATACATCGGTACAGGTGTCATCCACACCTCGATTGAGTGAGTTTTTTTGTAGAACCACTCAATTTTGAGGCAACTTTTACAATGGACTGGATACTCACTTACATAGAGAAACTCCAGGCGGTCGTTTTGTCTCATTTTACAACTCTTCAACATTGTGCACTTACAACTCCAGGCAACATGGAGCCGAAAACCATCAGGACTATAAGCTTTTATTGGCTGTTGCGTTTTGTAATCAG